TCCTGGGAAACCTCATTACATATAGTAGTCCAAAAAATTAAATCTCCACTAGGAAATAATTTGTTTTCCAGATCTTCTGAAGTGTATCTTGTCTAGCAGAATTCAATGGGAACTTAAGTCGTGCATTTTGCTTCCAGAATCAGCACTGCTGATTCTGATGCAAGAAGACATAAAAGGAGAGTCCTGGCCTTGTAGAGGTGAGGCTGAGCTCCCTCAAGCTGTGTCTGTTCTCCTCCTCCATGGTGTGATGCTGTTGTGGAAAATAAATAACAGTGCTGTGCCACTACATATAAACTGATGACGATGCCTCCTTTCTGCTGGTTGGGGCACCTCTTGTTGCATACACCAGTGTGGGGCTTTCTCTCTGTCAGCATGTGAGATTCTCTGAGTAAGATCAGACCGTACGTGGGACAGTTGAGTCTCTGCACTAACCTTGGTCATATAAGAGCTGCTGGGAGGAGACAATGGGCTCTGGTTTTGCACTCTGAGGTCTTTTCTGACCACTAGGAAACCCTCAATTTACCATTCAAAGAGTGTATTAAAATTATGCACAGCCTCAGCTGCCCTTATTCCTTGTCAGATGCTTTAACTATTCCTGCTGCTTCTTTCTCTTGTAGCTTCAAGAAGCTGCCTGCTGTGCTGAGCAAAATTCAGTTCTGCTGGCACAGATCTCATGGCAGTGCAGGGTGTTTCCTCACAGCTGTGGCAGCCATCTCAATGGATGCATTGCAGAGCTCCAGGACAGCAATCAGTCTCCCTGTGCTTGGAGAAGCAACGGTGCTGCAGGTTTTTGGATGCCTGCAAACCAGGGGACAGCACCCCAGTGGTACAGGAGGTGGGCTGTGCTCACACTCCGTTGCTCCAGGTAACCACTGCCTCATCCAGGCTGCCCATGGAGCTGGGAGGGAGCTGGGAGGTGTAGCTGTGAGCAGGATGTGACTCAGGGGTGCTCGGAGCAGGCGGAGCCCTGTGCAGGGAGGATCCAGCTGGCCAAATGCCCGGCACCCTCTTGGCTCCCCCAGCTCTCACCTGGAGGCAGATCCAGCAGCGGCATGGATGCTGGACTGCTGGCCCAGGCCTGCAGCTCACAAGTTTGGGAGCACAGGGGCAAGAGCCATCCCCACGTGGCCCCCAGAGGTGGTATAGGGGAAGGGGATGGCTTTCAATCCACAGCCTCGTGCAGGGGCCAGCGCTGCTCCCCTGAGTGAGCAGCTGGTTTCCCTTTTAGGGTTGGATGAGAGGCAGAAACAATGTCACGCGGATTCCAGCACCTATAATGGTTCTGGAAAGCCAAGGGGAACAAAGAGCGTTCTCCTCTGTTGACCTCAAAGCATGCTGAAGACCATCTTCCAAAGCTGCCTCGCCAGGAGGTTTCATCCTTACATGGGAGCCCATCCTGCAGTGCTGCACTGTGCCCACTGCGTGCCTGTAGGTGTGAAGTGCGAGCGCCAGGGCAGCAGGCAGGGCGAGGAGTGGCAGGAACCCAACACATAAAGGCAGCTCTATTCCTGTGTCCTGGGAAGATTAAGTGTTTCCCTGGGAATAGCCTCGTTGGATTGCCTGGTGGAGCAGCTGGTTGTGACCTGACAACGAGCAACAAACGCATATGGAGTTACACAGGACTGTAGGTTCGCTGTGTGTGTGAGACTTCGTGGTAGCCCGAATTGCCTCCAAAAGTGATTAAACTCTAAAGTGATTGCATGCAGCAGAAAGTCTGGCCTTGGTCCTATTCTTTGCATAATAGTTCAAGACACTAAAATGAATGTAATGATCTCCTGGGGCTGTTGCTAAGCCCTCTGAGGTGTTGCCGTGCACAATGACACCGGCATGGTGTTATGTGCCTGGTACTCTCTAATTAGAAAGCAGCCTCTGCTGTGCGTCCTTGGCGATCTGCTGACCTTTCCCATACGTGCAGCTATTCTGAGCTCTGTTCCAGACTGATCAGGTTTGCATCCCGGAACACTTTAAATATTGTTTGCGAGGAGAGCTCTTGTTGCCAAAGCTGTTTGTTCTTGGGCACAGGCGAGAAACTGAGCTTCCTTTCTGCCATGAGAACTACTCTGTCAAGCAGAAGGATTGGGTAGGCAGCTGGCAGGCAGAGAGCTGATGTTATTTCTGCCCTCGGACAGCTGCAAGAGTGCCTCAGGTCTGGCAGCCTTCGTCCTGAGATGGGTGAGTGGGTGAACACTCTTTGCTGCTGGAATCCTATCAGGTTGGGGCAACACCTTGGCTGTTGTCTGGAGGCGTTGCTGACACCAGCCTAGATCACAACTGGTGTTTACAGGGTGGTGCAGACTGCAGAGTATCAGCACATGCTGATTAGCACGCATGATGACTGCCCAAAAGTCTCAGCATCAACTTAAAGGGTCTTGAAGCCAGGACACATTTTTAATACGTTTTAAAACTCCACTTCTTGTCTTCACGAATTGAAACAATTTCCCAGATCCTCACTGCAATCACAGTAAGAAATGGGGACTTTTGACCTATTCCTTCACTGTGTTTCTTTTGTCTCGCCTTTCTCTGGGCTGTGACCTTGGTGCCACATCCGTGGGTGAAGATGTGGAGGTTGCTGTGGTGTTGTGCAGGATTTGTCACCGCTGCACGACACTGTATGCACGACCAGAACAAAGAGAGCAAACAGATCACTTCCTTGCAGCTTATCTAAGTCAAATAACTCTGAGTAAACTTCCTGGGCCTGGGTTTTATTCTCTGCAAAAGGCAGCACAGCGCCTGATCCTGTGTGCTCTCGCAGCAACCCCAGCCACGTGATGCTTGGCTCTGCCGACCCCACACCCCACAGCTAGGACCAACGGAAGCAGACTACATCTGGGGAGAATCTGCTCGAAGCAGAACTGCCCCAGGGAAGCAACGCTTTGCTTCCAGTGCACCCAGTTCTCCCAGTCTTCATTTTGGGGGCTTTGGCACACCAGCAAAGTGCAAGCCCCTTGCGAGCAGGTTGGGTATTGTACTGGCATGGTACGATTAGGGGCACTGCTTTTGAGCAGAACTTGGAATATCATTTTCAGAGGGTTTCTGTGAGTTTTGTTCCTTGTTCCATGCACTCCTGCAGCACTACCCACCTCACTGTCCTTGGCAAAATGCTGTGACTTGTTATGTGGCTGGGGACAAAGAGGGACAGCCTCCGGGCTGGGGCCAGCATCGCTCACAGACTGAGTGCGTCTCCCCAGCAGAAGCCAAGGCTTCTCCCATTGTGCTTTTCTTTTCCTTCCCTCGTGTTTCCTGATGTTCTCTGACCCCATATTTTAGGACCACAGAGATAGCACAGCCCATTGAGCAAACACAGTAGCTCCGAGCCCTGGCGGTATCGTGGTTCCTGGGGCAGGAGTGCTTATTAGAGGCCCTTTTATTACAGACACACCTTGGAAAGTTCTGTTCAGAAGGGCTGGGAGGAGAAGAGTGGTAATTTCATTTTCTTTCTTCACCAGAGAGAAAGGTCCCAGGTAGCTGCAGCAGTCGAGGGTAAGCAGGGTAGCAGGGGGGATGTGGGAGCTCCTCCTTGCATGGGCACCACAAAGAGAAGATGCTTGAGGACAGAGCTGTGGCAGCAAGGGGAGCACTGGCACAAGAACCCACTTGGCTCTTTTGAACAAAGCTCCATCCCAGTGCCGAGCTGGGAGCTGTGAGGCAGAGCAATGGCCCTGAGCTGCTGGTGGGGATTAAGCCATCCCCTGGGGCAGGCGGCAGCTGGGTAATGAGCATCTGAATGGGGACTTTTTTCCCCATCCGCTGGTCACGCTGGTCACGTAGCCATGTGGGAACGCTGGATTTATTCCCCAGCAGTGCTATCAGCACATACCAGGCTTCACAACAGCTGGGAGCCATGGAGCTTGACCAAGAATAGCACTGGGGAACTCACTGCCTGACTCAGAGCTGTCTGGAGCAGATCCTGCCTTGCACCAGTGAATTGTTGCTGCCCCAGGGGGGAGCTTTGGGGCAGCAGGCACAAAGTGGGGGGCTCCCAGCCCCCCTGGGCACTGGGCACTGGGTTGGGGATGGAGCTGCGTGGCTCCTCCTGGAGCAAGTGGGATCCTGGAGGGAACTGCAGTGCGTGGCTGTGCTGTGACTGCTCAGATGTAATTCCATGGGCTTGTCTGCACTTGACAGCAAGCTGGTATTACAGAAGGGTGTGAATTTGCAAGCGGAGAATTCCATATTTAGGAATAACCAAGTTCAACCAAACAGCAGGAAGATACTCTCATTCTGGAATTAATGTTCCAAAGAAAGTACCCAAGTTCTGCACCCTGCCTGCCTGCAGGAAGACGGGGCAAGGAGCGATGTCAGATCTGCATGCAAACCCTAAACACCGCTCTTGTTTGTAAAGTACATGCCCTCCCCTTTGCTTGCTCCCTGAAAAGAATTTGTAGCTGGAGCAACATATGCGTGGAGCAACACGTGCAAGGAGGTTTGGTGGGATACAACTGCATCCCGGTGCAGTGTGAGGTGCCCGATTCCAGCTCCCCTGCTGAGCAGCTGCTTTAAAGTCCTGGAGCTGTTCCAGCTCTGAATGCTGCAGTTCGATCGGGCAGCAGCAGCCCGGGGCCATCTGCAGGGGCCCTGCCCTTGGGGGGCTGATTAGGGATCTCTGAAAGAGGCTCGTGGCAGCTTTCCCTGCTGGTGTCTGGCTGTGGTATAGCAGTAGGTACACACACGCACAGAACGCTTGTGGGCCTGCTCTGGGTGCTAAGTCAAAACTTCCCATGTGGAAAAACATTCCTTCTTTTTAGATCCTCATTTACCCTTTGTTTCCCAGGAGCCAAACAGTGCAGAGCTCCCTGTGCGTGCATCTGTATTTCTCTGAGTGTCTGCGTGCTCACGTGGTTAGATCCATCCCAGCTGTCTGCAGGCGGATTTGAGGAGTGTGTTCAGGTGCAGGAGCTCGGTTCCCTGTCCTGTCCTTGTGTTCTGGGAACACGGGGCATTGCAGGCACATCCCAGGCAGTGCAAAGCAACTCTGAGTGAGCACTCTGCTGCTCTCTTAGCAGGTGAAGGTGGCCCTCAGACCGGCACCATGACCGAGTGCTTCGACTGCGACAACTGCAAGGAGTCCTTGTATGGGCGCAAGTACATCCAGATGGACAATGGCCCATACTGCATCCCCTGCTACGATGCCCACTTTGCCAATACATGTGATGAGTGCAAGGAGCTGATCGGCCACGACTGCAGGGTGAGTATGGGAACATGCCGGGCAATGCAGTCCATAGGTGCCCATCCCCATCTCATTCTACTGTCCTCCCCAGGAGCTGTACTATGAGGATCGCCACTACCACGAGCACTGCTTCCGCTGCTTCCGCTGTGACCGCTCGCTGGCTGATGAACCCTTCACCTGCCAGGACGAGGAGCTGCTGTGCAATGACTGCTACTGCAATGAGTTCTCCTCCAAGTGCATCGCCTGTGAGAAGACAGTCATGCCAGGTAGGAGCGGGTGGGCACTGTGGTTTGCTCCCAGTCCCATTGAGTGAAGCTGCAAGGTCCAATGCCAGGGCAGCAAGTGAGAGATGAATCTCTGCCCTCCCACTGCTCCTTCACTGCACGGTGTGGGCTGGGCACAGTCTGGTGGGACAACAGGCTGTGATCAGCACAGCCCTGACTGTGTCTGTTTCCCTTTCTTGTGGGGAAGTGAGCTGAGGAGGAGAAAACAAAGGGTTTCCTGGGCATTTTCTGGTATGTGCTGACAAAAAGGGAAGGAATGGTTGAAGGCATGTGAGTGGCTCTGAAGATAGCCTGAGGCAAAGGTGCGCCTTTGCTTGGCCATTCTGGCATTCTGCAGATACGGGTTACAACAGACTGCTCTGCGGTGGCCATATTGGTGCCAGAGGAGTGTTGCTACAGCCCCTACTCATGGCTGCTGCTGCTCCTGGGGCTCTCCCCCAGCTTCCCACACGGTTCCACTCACCCACATCACTCTATTGTGGTGGGCAGGAGCCTGCATTGTCCTGCACAGTCTCCATGTCCTGTGTGAGCATATGTGCTCCCCACTACCCCTCTGAGCACAGCTCTTCTTGCAGGATCCCGCAAGCTGGAGTACAATGGACAAACCTGGCACGAGCACTGTTTCATATGCAGCAGCTGCCAGCAGCCCATCGGGTCACGATCCTTCATCCCAGACAAGAAGGATTATTACTGTGTCCCCTGTTACGAGAGCAAGTTTGCTCCTCGCTGCACTCGCTGCAAAAAGGTATGTCTATCATGGCAGGCCGAGCCATCCTCCTGTGCTGGGGGGTCATGTTTCCAAAGCAGGGGGATCTGTTGGCTGAGAGGAGAGGACAGGGTGCCCCTGCACAACCCAGCCCTGCCGCAGTCAGTGGCTGCTCCTCTCTAGCAGTGCTAGGGATGGGCAGACTGTGTACCAGCTCTCTCCACACCCCATCAGAGAATGATTCAGGTGCCAGCACCCTGGCTGATAGCTGCTCAGGTGTGGCACTGCCCCTGTGTCACATGTGCTCTCTCTTCCCACAGACCCTGACCAAGGGAGGAGTGACCTACCGGGACGAGCCATGGCACAAGGAGTGTTTTGTCTGCACAGGCTGCATGACCCCCCTGGCTGGCCAGCAGTTCACCTCCCAGGATGACAACCCCTACTGCATCAAGTGCTTTGGGAACCTCTATGCCAAGAAGTGCAGTGCCTGCACAAAGCCTATCACAGGTGAGCAGGACGGCCCTAGAGACAGTGTGCTTCCTACTGGCAGGCTGTGGCTTGGAGATGAACCAAGACCTCTAGCTGTGCAAACAGCTTGTCCAAATTGCTCCCTGAGGGTTTTAATGCTGTTCTCTGTCCCTCCCACAGGCTTCGGTGGTGGTAAATATATCTCCTTTGAGGATCGTCACTGGCACCATAACTGCTTTAACTGTGCCCGCTGTGACACCTCGCTGGTCGGGAAAGGCTTTATCCCTGACAATGATGAGATCCTGTGCCGCGACTGCAGCAACGACCTATGAGCCTTGGAGGACACTGTGGGGCAGGGGCTTTCTCTATTCTTCAGAGTCTTTGTGCCAGTTACCCCTGACAGCATTGCAGGGGCAGGGTACAAAGCGTAGGAGATGAGGGCTGACCCCTAACCACTGTGTGTTCAGGAGGTTCCTGTGCCCCTCCTTGAAGGCTAGAGTATGCTACACTGTGGCTCTGTGCAGAGCCAAAGCTAAATAAAGTTGAAAAGGAGCTTCAAGATCCCCATTATTTACTCTTTCCTTTTGCTTACTGTCTGACTGGGCATGAGCAGAGCAAAGGGCAGCAGCAGCAGCTTCAGTGCAGGGCTGCTGGATCTGCACGCTGGCAGCATGCATTCGCTTCCCTGGGCACAGTGCTCATTCTTCTTTTTTCCCTGCTCTGCATGCTGCAGGGCAGCAACTCCCACTCTGGTCTTGTCGGTGTTCACAGTGGATGGCTTCGCAGCCCAGTGTTGCACAACCTGTGCATGTGGGGCTCTCTGTCCTATTTGGGAGGCTTGGGGACACTGGACTGGAGTGGGAGCATGTGTCACCACCATGGGATTCCTGTAGCCACTCTGCCACCTATGTGCTGCACCCTTTTCTCAGCGTGGCTCTGTGACAGAGCTCAGGCACTCGCAGGGCTGTAGCACTGCCCCAAACCCCTGCCTGTTCTTAACTGTTAACAACAAGGTGTCTAAAAGCTCACACAAGGGCATGAGCCAACCTTGCCTGGTGGCTTGGCTGGCCCTGCCCCCCCAGAGCTCCTTTGCAGGGGGAGCTTGTGCTTCTGCCTAGTCTGCATCCCCCCTGCTCTGCCCTGCATGGGGCACTTCCCCCAGCCCTGCTTTCCTGCTTAACCCTTGCTTCTCTGAAGGCATCTTCTTGTGATGTTTATTCGTTTTTTGTTTTTTGTTTTTCCCTCTTTTTGTATTCTTTTGTCATGATTATCTGTTATTCTGTAACCAGCTGTGGGATGAAGGGACTCTCCCGCCTGCCCAGGATTCAGTAGGAGCAGAAAAAATTATGCATGTTGAAGTGTTATTAACTCTGTATTCAGATCTTGGTTGAACTCTCATTTGAAAGCTTTGATGCAGGCAAATCAGAGTTTGTGTGTTTGCTATTCTGAGGCGCTTGGAGCAGTCTCTAGAAGGAAGTGTCCTGAATGTCAGCCCCTTGTATGTTTCCTAAAGCTTTATATAATAAACCGTTTTAGTGACACTCGTTCCTGTGTGTTTCTCAAGCAGCAGGCACAGGGCAGTACTGCAGTTCCATGCTCAATCCTGCCCCATTCCTATCCCAATATAGGAGTGGGGCTGATCCCCCACCATGCTCCTTTCTCCTCTTTCCCAACCCACCAGCTGTACCAGACCCTCCGGCTGAGGGCAGAGGAATGGCAGCTCCCTCTCCCTACAGCGGCTGCCTGTCTGTCCACGTCCACTGTCTGTCTGCAGCATCAGAGCAGCGATGCTTTGTGGCTGATCACAGCCCTGCCACTGCTCTGTGTACTGCCTCGCACCCCACTGCACACAGCAGCTTCCCCATCCTGCGCCCCACACTCTGGGCTGTGGGGAGCTTTGCTGGGGATGTGGCTGCAGGCTCCTCCTGGCAGCCTGCCCCACAGCACTGAGTGCTTGTTACTCACTTTTATCAGCTGGGGAGCCAGTTGTTCCCCTAACATCTGAAACTGTTTTCCGCAGATTCCTTTACATTTACTAACAGCTGCCACGGCTTCCTGCAGGCTCACCAGCCCCCGCACCCCACGGGTGCTGCTGCAGCAGGACCACGATGCTGGCTCTGCTCCTGCACACTCCTGGATCAGCTCCTGCAAAAACTATGGTTTTGTTGCTTTTTTTTTTTCCTTTCTTTTTCATGTAAGACTTTTTCTGCTTGTGACCTGTGCCAGGCTCTCGTTTTGCTGCTGTTTGGCTTCAAACAAGGAGTGAGTAGCTCAGGCCCTGGAGGTTTCTGGCTGAGCCTGTCCTGCAGCAGCAGCACCACGAGCCCTTGTTTCTGCAGCGCTGTTTCCAGGGATTAACCACAAAAGGTTTCTGTACAAAGGGCCCCCAGGCTCCTCTTTTGCTCAGCCTCAAGAGCCTCACGTTTTTAGCCAAAAAAGGAAATGACCCAGCTGCACGTAGTGCTGGAACATCTGGATTTTATCCCTGTCATGAATGGGTCATGGCTGTGCGCAGCCCCGTGCCTGATTTACGGGAGGGGGAGGGTGATGTCATGTACAAACCTCCCCTGGGCTCCCGGAGCATGGTCTGAAGCAGGCACGGAAATACTCCTCAGCACGCAGCCAGGGGAGCAGGGCCCTCACTGGGAGCCCAGCATTAACCAGGCACTGAGCTCAGCTCTCCTGGGGAAAAGCCACCCCACAGAGGGACATGGTGGCTCCTGCCACATGCTTTTTGGGCTTGCTGTGGGCACCTCTCTCTGCCCTGTGGATGAGGGCTCTCTCTCCTTCCAGGCAGACTTTTCAGCTCCCTGCTGGCGGTCACCCATTTCCCAGCTGCATGCATGTACATGCAGCATCGGGTCACGGCTCCAGCACAGCCTCTCCTGAGCTCCTTAACCCAGCATGGACCTGCCCCAGCAGCTCCTGCAGCCCTGCAGGAATGGGTCTGGAGGCCAGGTGCTGCTGGGGCCGAGACTTGGCCCTGTGTATGGTAACAAGCCCAGAACCACTACTGTCCATTCTGCCTGGGGTAGTGGGGAATCAGAGTTGAGTTTCTCCTTTGCCTCTGTTGCATGAGGATAGGGATGTGGCTGAGTCCTGCAGGCATTCTGCATGCTCCTCCCGATGTTATCCCTTCTTCCAGGCCCCCAGCAAAGGTCCAGGAAGGTGGGGGTGCAGCAGAACTCACAGAGCCACCTTTATTCCCATTGTCCCGCCTCTCCTGGCAGGAAAACTGTCCCTCCATCCACACCAAGCACGGTGGCTGCTCCCACATTGCCTTCCCAGCCCTGCACAGCTCAGTCCACAGCCTGCCTCCTCCCATGGCGCTGCTGATGGGCAGAGGAGGAAGAAGAGAAGCATCAGGCTCCCAGTTCACCAAGCCCACATGGCTGGGGGTCCCCACTGGGTTTCAGCTCCTTTCTGAGGATGAAGTTTCATGCAAAGGGAAAGGGAAGAACACCAAGTCCAAAATCTTATCTCCACTTGTATTTTTAGATGGGTATTCGTGAGGAAGAAGTGACACACTTAGGGGAAGTCTTTAGTACAAGACTTAATTAAATACAATGCTCCTACCAGTATCATTCCCTCAGTGCAATGAATGTTCCCACAGCAGGATCATCTTTGTCTCCCATAATGAAGCCAAATTTTTTTTTGTTGTTGTTTTAGCTTTTGAGTTAAATAAATTTATTATGCATCGTAGGGGAAGAAAAAAAAAAAAAAAAAAGAATTTATTTATGAGTTTAAATTTAATTATAGTTTTGCATCGGCAAAGTGGGGGCAAAGCACTGACACGCTTCTGAGCATTTCGAGTAGATCTGAAGGTGGTAATTAAAATCCAAGAAGAAGTGGAAAGCCACAACCGTGACCTCTTCAGGAGGACATCCTCCAGAGCCACATCCTTTGAGCCCCGATGCCCAAAGCCCACAAAGCTCAGCTGTTTTTCCCAGGAGCAACGGCCGTGACCCAGGGCAGGCAGAAAGGAGGCAGCACCAGGCTGGACACGTTTTGTTCTGCTGGGCCCGTTCCTGTTCGAGCTGTGATTCACAGCTGTGTAACGCTGCCCACAGCCGCCCTCAGGCTGGAGGTTTTCATCCCGGCCTCGGGGCACCTGCAGTGCTCGCCCATCCCCAGGAGGGCAGGAGCAGAGCTGCAGGGTGCTCACAGCGATTCTGAGGCGGGTAACTCAAGCTGTGGCTTTTCTAATCGCTGCCTGGGCCCTGTGACAAAGGGCACTGATTGACTCTGTTGGGTGGGTAGCCCTGGTTAGAGGGAGGCCGTGTGCTGCCCGTTTGTGTGGGGACATGGGTGTGTTTGGGAGCAGCTGTGCACTATCAGGGGTTGGCACTGACACCCGTGCTGATCTCCTGGAGGCCCAGAGGCTGTTGAGGCTGCGAGCACCTCTCCTTTTCAATGCACATGGGGACAAAGCCGCCATGCTGGCAGCATTTGGGACAGGACTTGTAGGCGTTCAGCTCTCCTCTTCCACCATCCGATACCGGAGCGGCTTCCCACCGCTCCACACCGCCTCGAGGCTGCACAAGATGTCGGCAGAGCGGCTTCATAGCTCTGCCTCCCCCCGCTTCGCAGCGGCGAGAATCACCGCGGTCCCACGTTCAGCCCGGACCCTTCCGGCGCGGCTCAGGGCGGGGCCGGACCCTTCCGGTAGCGCACAGACTGCGCCGGAAGTAGCGCGCTTCGACTTCCGGGCGGGACGCGAGAGGATGGAGACGATCCTGGAGCAGCAGCGGCGTTATCATGAGGAGCGGGAGCGGCTGATGGACGTCATGGTGAAGGAGATGCTCACCAAGAAGTCCACGGTGCGCCCGGGGAAAGGCGGGGGGTCCGGTGGGGTCGTGTGGGGGGATGCGCCGGGCCCAGGCCTTCGCTGACGCCGTTCCTTTCCCCGCAGCTCCGCGATCAGATCAACTCCGACCACCGGACGCGGGCCATGCAGGACGTGAGTCGGGCGGGGTGGGCCGCTGCCGTCCCAAGATCCGTATGGATCGGCCCAGGAGGCTGCCGAGCTGCGGGGCCGGGCCCGGCTGAGGTTCGCGGTGGCAGCGTGGGGTTTGTGTTGTGTTTTAGAGGTACATGGAAGTGAGCGGCAACCTGAGGGACCTGTATGACGACAAGGATGGGTGAGTGTGCAGCTTGCTGGCTCGCGGATAGAGGACCTGGGGCTCCTCTGGATCTGCTGTAAACACTGCACAGACACTGCAGTACAAGGCTGGGGGTCAGCCCTGAACCTGCTGGAGGAGGACCCAGACTTCACGTTAAACGCGTTCGTGCACAATACAAACATTTCATTGTTTTCTTGGATTGAATCATTGAG